TAAGGTATCTTTAGTTGTTTGTTCAATGATCGACTATCCAGAGGGTAGTCTCAAAACTACTGACTTATATCACTGAGAAAAACAAACCTACTGATTAGAATTTGGTATTTATTAAAAATGACATTTTAGAGATCTATTTATTTTATTTGATGTGTGTGAGTATTCTGCTTGCCTGCATGTATGTCTGTGGATCATGTACATGCCTGGTGCCTGAGGAGATCAGAAGAGGACATCAGGTGCCCAGAAATGGAGTTACAGATGGTTGTGAGCCACCATGTGGATGCTAGGAATAGACTTGGGTCCTCCGGAACAGCGTCTAGTGCTTTTAACCTTTGTGGCCATCTCTCCAGCTCCTCAAATTAAATTCTTAATGTAAAATAAATAAGAATATCAATCTTACCACCATATAAATTTGTTTTGTCATGAGTGATGGTATGGTTTATACTACTAAAATTTATACCATCTGATTTTTGACTGTGGGTACAGTGTAATCGGCCAGGCTCCTGCTGCTATGCATTCTTCACCATGATAGTGTGCATCTCCCGAAACTATATTCAGAATAAACCCTTTCTCCCTTTTTTCTTTTAAAAAAAATGATATCAATAAAAATAAATGTATACAAAAGAATTGTTTTAAAGTAAGTTTCTTTATTATTTGTTAATCATTACATGTTTGGGTCTGTATGATTATTTAAAAAAAATTTAAATTACAGTTTATTCACTGTTTATCCCAGCAGTAGCCCCCTCTGTATGATTATTTTATATACTTATGTATCTGGGATTTTAGGAGAAAAGTGTCACATGCTTTTAGTCCCGGTGCTCTAGAGGCAGAGGCAGGCTGAGCTCTACTAGTTCCAGGTCAGCCTGATCTCTCTATGGAGTTCCAGCCCGGATGAAGGACCAAACAGAACAAAGACTGACATCTACCAACCTGGAAACAATTGTATCAGGAGATGGCTTGGACCAGAAGTTGTAAAACTTCCCTGAGTCAGAGTCTCAGGCCTTGAAGATAGTCACCAAGTCTCCACAATTGTGTGAACTAAGCTGTTGAAATAAATCTTTCTCCCTTCCTCCCCAGCTTGCTCTGTGCTTGTGTCTGTACATAACCTGTCATCATCTGGAGAACTCTGATTAATACACCTCAATTAATTCATTTATTTTTTACTTCTTGCAGATCCCTGACAAAATGTTTTCTCCTTAGAAAACACTTTCCTTCCTGTGATGCTTGGGCTTCATAATTTGACAGGATTCCCAATCACTTAGGAGACACACCTTCAGGTGTGCCTGTGAGGGTATTTCTAAAGATGGCTAATTGACAGGGGAAGACCTACCTTCCATGTGAGTGGTACCCTACAAGGTGTGGCCCAGACATAAAAAAGTCTAAGGAAAGCACAGCGTGAGCCTGCCTGCCTGTCTTTGCTACCACCCTCTGCTGCTAACATCAGACTCCAGCCTTGCCAGCCTTCCAAAGTGGATTTAATACCAGCCACTCTCTAGGATACATGCAGGATTTCAGCACTGGATTAGGACTTCTGAGACACCCATTTCTTGTACAGGAGCAACCTGTGGTTAAGTGGATGTGCTATATACATGATCAGGCTCAAGTATATCCTGAGGGCATGAGTGGATTAGAAACAATAGCCCAAATTCATATGGTTACTCTTTATGCTACAGCATCTTCTACTCCCAAGTATGTGTCTATGTCCTCATGAGATGTGAAATATAGATTATTGAGGAGAAAAGACTGGGCCTGATCTATGGATGGTTCTGCACACTGTAGGGCACTGCCCGGAAATGGACAGCTGCAGTGTCATAGCATGTGCTGTGCTTGGATGGGTAATGTTCCCCCATCATAGGTGCTCGTGTTTGGGGACCTTGAGGCTTTGTTGCATGGCCACTTCTTCTCACACTTTGGTGTCTGAGTGCAGAGGCAATATAAGTGATCGTCTTCCTGCTTCTGCCACCTTGTCTTCTCTGCCCGCTGCCTGGTCTTTTCCACCCTCATGGACTGCATCTCTCTGAAACTGTAAGCCAAAGTCAATCCTTTCAACTATAAGTTGCTTTTGTCAGGATATTTTACCAAGGCAATGGTAAAATAAGTAACTAGGGCAACATGAAGCCACACTTTTGTTTTTATTAGGGGGCAAATGGACCCCAAGAACACTGACCTCCTCTAGGGATTAATCCACTGATGAGTTCATAGCAAAATGGACTATCAGGAGGTGGGGTCTAGTTAGAGGGGGCAGGTCTCTGTTCTCTCTCTCTCCTGATTTCTTGGAGGTGAGCAGATTTCCTTTATTGTGAAATTCCTCCATGGTGCTTCTGCCTTGCCACAGGCTTTACAGCAGTGCATCTGGACAGCCACAAAGACCTATGAGACCATAAACAAAATTTCCCTCTTAAAAGCTATTTTGTCACAGCAACAACAACAACCAAAACCCCTAATACACAGTTCATCTTAGTCTGTGATGTGGGGGGTGGGGGGCGGAGGAAAGAGAAGCAGGCAATTTGTAAAAGTTTTCAGCCAACTGTAGTGAATTAGCGTGAAGATGTCATGCGGCACTTGTTTGCAGGTATGACAGCCCATCGCCAGAGCCAGATCCTGGTGATGGGATAGCCACACTGCCAGTGTTAGAGCAGAGGCATCCTTCCTGTGGGTGGATCCTTCATGGATCCGATCCTCGAGCCCAGTGGTTCTCAACCTTCCTAATGCTGCGACCCTTTAATACAGTTTCTCATAATGTGCTGACCCCAACCATAAAATTATTTTATTGCTACTTCATAACTGTAATTTTGCTACTGTTATGAATTGTAATGTAAATACAATTATGATATGTGACAATTCAATACAATATAATCATGTATTTATATGATTTATATATATCATATAAATACAATATATGATATGTGACCCTCAAAGGGGTTGTGACCCACAGGTTGAACTCGCTGCTCTAGCCTCCTGTGGGGCCTGCCCATGATTCTAGCTTGGTTCTTCACCTTTTTTTTTTTTAAGACTTATTACAATATTGCTTAATATTTGTTAAACACACGCATGAGCCCTGAACCCTCTCTCTCTCTCTCTCTCTCTCTCTCTCTCTCTCTCTCTCTCTCTCTCACACACACACACACACGCACACACACACACTATTTGCATGCAGGCCTGTGTGCCATGTGTGTGCAGGTTCATGTGGAGGCCAGAAGAGGGCAGCAGATCTACCTGGAGCTGGTTGTCAGCTGCCCAATGTGGGTGCTAGAAATTAAAATTAAGTCCCCTGGCAGAGTGGCGAGTCTCTCCTAACTGCTGAGCGATATCTCCAACTCTTCAGATTTTGTTAATTCGAGATCCTTCAACGCATTCTGTTTCTGCTTCATTAACCGGAGACAGTTTTTGTTACTGAAGACACTAGCATTCTAGTTGGTCCATCATTTCTAGATATATTTAATGCCAGAGTCTTATCTGGCATTTTATAATACTTACCTCTAAACAATACTACAGGTGATTTTGCAACTGGTTTGGGTGTTCTATCTGGGTTCCCTTAAGTCTTGTAGGCCTCTGGGAAAGGAAGAAACAGCCAAGGAAAGGGTAGCTGTTCTGTGAGTCTCAGAATATCTGCTGACCCATTTCAAATCACTTCTCGCTCTTTCTCTCAATTCTTAATTTGTACCTTGGCAGTATGCCAGGTGCTGAAGCAATCCAAAGATCAATGAGAAGCAATCCTGAGAATATGCTTTTGAATTTTAAATGAGACAAATGTAATTTTTTTTTTTGAGACAGGGTTTTACTGTGTAGCCCTGGCTGTCCTGTAACTTGCTTTGTAAACCAGGTTGGCCTTGAACTCACAGAGGTCCACCTGCCTCATCCTTCTTCATGCTGGGATTTAAGGTGTGCTCACTACACCTGGCCTGGATTTCTGGCTTTTTGTTGTTGTTTGTTTCATTTTTGTCTTTTAATAATGATTTATTGAACATTTACAAAGAAATGAACATCACCTTACCCCTAGTGACAGTAACCCAAAGAGTCTGGCACCAACCTGGTCTACATAGTGAGTTTCAGGTCAGCCATGACTACACAGTGAGATCCTGCCTTTAGATAAATTCTAGGGTAGGGCCAGTCAGCGTTGTCTCCATAAACAAGCTTAGGTTACTGTCGGTTTCACAGTATTTTGCACTTTCAACCGTGAGTTTAGTGTCTAGGACAGGGGACCCTGTCTGTGGATTAACTTCTGAGACTTCAGTGCCTAGAAGGGACTCTCACTGCAATACGAAATAAAACACCAGCATTTTCATGTCCCAGAAGAAACTGCTGGCAAGTTTGTCTAAGATTGCGTGCACAGAGCCTTGGGGCAAGAACCCGTGGTGCTTCACAGGAAGAACTCAGAATTTAAGTCCCAGCTGCTTAGGTTTTGGTGGACTTGACCCAAGCTAGGGTCATCTGGGAAGAAAGAAGCTCAATTGAGAAAATGCCCCCATCAGACTGGCCTGCAGGCAAGTCTGTGGGGGCATTTTCTTGATGAATAATTGCTGTGGGGGAACCCTGCTCTCTGGTTTGTAGAAGAAAGCAGGCTGAGCAAACCATGGGCAGAAAGCAAGTATACATCATTACTGTATTGTCTCTGCTTCAGTTCCTGCCTCCAGCTTCCTGCCCTGCTTGAGTTCCTGCCTTGATTTCCTTTGAGGGTGGGCTGTGATCTTGACATCCTCTCCCTTTGGTCACCGTGTTAATCGCAGCAATAGAAAGTAACTAAGACACAGCCCTCAAGTGTAGTGATTGGGGAAGAAGAACAGAAACCATGGTCAAGAGGAAGGCCCACGATGGGGCTTGCAGTCCCGCTAGGGGCGGGTGAGCAGTCGGGCAGGTGAGTTGGCAGGTGCGGCGCTGCCCCGCCCTCAACCGGCGGAGGCGAGGCCTGGGAACGCCCTCGGCGGCTGGGTGACTCAGGGAGCGCGCGCGGAAAACAACCTGGCCTCAGAGTGGCAACTGACAAAGGCGGGGGCGCGCTCTGCGCGTGCACAGCGGACGGAGGAGCCTCCCCGGGTCCTGCAGCCCGAGCCCAGCGGGCGCAAGTGACACCTGAGGGCAACCGGCGCGTGCGCGGTGAGTCCAGCCCGGCGACGCGATGCCGCTAGGAGGGCTGCCGGGGAAACAGCTGCTGGACAGATGGGGAGTGCAAGGTGGGGGACAGAGAGGCAGGGCGCGGCCGGATCGTAGGTCACTCGATGCTGCGTCTCCAAAGTCTTAGGAGCACAAGCCACCCGATGCAGGTGTCTCCACCGAGCCGTGTTCTGGGTGGGGAAAAAGGTCCGGGAAAGTAAGCTGGGCTAGAGCAAATGGTTATTGTTCTGTTTCTTATCTTGCTACCTGTGTCGGACGTGAGGCGGCTTTTAATAAGAAACCATTCATTTAAAACAAAGGAAACATTCAAACGACAGTAAAGGATCCTGGCTAAGAAACTATACTTATGAGTACCCCGGTTGGCCGGGCAAGAAAGAATCAGAAATCCAAGATGGATTGAAAGGGAGAATTGGCCCGGTAGAAAAGTGGTGTTAGAGATGGGCTCAGAAAGCAGGGAACTGTGGCTCCTGCGTGCTGGTAACTTGGAGGCAGAGAAGCGCACCTCTGGCGTCGGTGCTGGTTCTTGGTCCTCTGGTGGTCAGTGGTCGAGCAGAAAAGCTGCCCGCTGCCCATCCTGGCAGAACCTCTGAGAACAGTTTGTTCCTTAGCAGAGAGGGAGACTTCCGACCTCCTCTATGATCTGGGAAGCCCAGTTTGCTCTTTTCCAGGTCCGGTACTTTTCCCTCCAGGTTGTTTTGAGTATAAAGCTTGGTACCTGGCACACAGTAGAGGCTCAACGCAAGAGCTGATGCTGATAATTCAGTCAAACACTGCTGTGCCAGTTAGGAACGACCTGGAAGGAATTGGGCTGTTTACAAAGTAAAATAAAACGAAAACATTAAAAAGTGTGTACATGAGTGGAGCTGGGGAGATTGTGAAATGGGTTAAAGCCTTGCAAGCGTGAAGGCATGAAAATGGATCCCAACACCCACTTAAAAGCCCTGCGCCCCACCCCCACCCCCGCGAAAAGAGCCCGCTGGTCCTACTGGGAAGTCTGTAACTCCAGCCCAGGGGATGGGGACAGGCAGCGGTCCCTGAGGCTTGCTCTCCAGCCATCCTAGCCAAATAGGTGAGCTGCAGTTTCAGTGAGAGATTGCCAAGTAATAAACAAATTAATTAATAAATGAGGTGGGGTGGGGTGGGGAGAGACTGAGGAAGACATCCTACCGGGACCCAAAAATGTTCACATGAAAGTATAATAAATATAGTCACGATATCCAATATCATGACTAGCAAAACCCTGAGGAGAACTAGCACATACCCTGGCGAGAGTAAAGGGGTTCAAGCGAAGTACCACATTCACTGTTTTGAAAATATTTGCATTTATTTTAATTATGGCTCTGTGCGTGCCTGTTAGTAGGTGTGTACGTGTGAGTGAGGTCAGATGCCCCCCAGTCCCCGTGGAGCTGGAGTTACAAGTGGTTGTGTGCCTCGTTACATTGGCAAGGGGGGGGGGGTTCAACTCAGGAACTCCGGGAGAGCAGCAGGCATGCTTAATCACGGAGCCCTCTCTCTAGCTCCTCAATTCACTATATGACCCAAAGTCAGAACTAAAAGTAGAAACTAGCAGATACTCTAATAAGGGTGGGCCCTAGGTGTCACCTGCCTCCTTCAAATGGAGCCGGAACCTTAGGGTGGGTTTTTAAAGGAGAGGACAGAGGACATGAACTGGGACCTGGCAGTACCATTCTTGCCCAGCCACATGGGCTCACTGAATTTCTGCCGGGGCACAGGGTTCGCCAACAGCTGGCTGGCATCTCCCTTGGATCAGCAGATTACTGTGATAAACACTGCCTTGGTTGATGCTGCTCCAGCTCAAATCAATGGCTTTTTATTTAACGGTGGAGGAGGGAGTGCGCCTGAGTGCTGGCACCAGAGTAGCATGGCATTTATCAAGCTTGTTGCTCCACAGCCTGGTACTTGTTTATTGACAGGCTGAAGAACTTTAAATCTGTGGATCTGGAATTGTGAAGACACAGACTGGGCAGACCCGCTGGTCTATAAAAAGACCTGTTTAAAAAAAAACAAAACAAACAAACTGTATGCTTTCCTTTCTCTACCCTTGGTAGAGCCAGGGAAGCCTGGCTAAGAGCAAGTAGCTGTTGTTTAATTTGGGTTAAGACACATACCACCTGTCTTCCCAAATATTTACAAAGAGAAGAAAGTGTGTGTGTGTGTGTGTGTGTGTGTGTGTGTGTGTGTGTTTGATGTCTTTGCTCTTTACCACCTCTGTATCACTCTTTTCTTAACTCACAGGGGTCCTTTTTCTTCAGCATGGTGATTTTGGTAACTTTCTTCTGGCTTTATGCTATGATTTTGTTTCACAGTTGTTTCTTTCCTTTTAATTTTATTATTTTGTGTATATGAGTGTTTTGCCAACATGTATGTGTGCCTGTGCAGTGTCCCCCCCCCAAGGAGCCAGAAGAGGGCACCAAATTCCCCCGAACTGGAATTATGGCCGGTTTTGAATTGACATGTGGGTGCTGGGAACTGAATCCAGGTCCTCTGGGAGAGCAATCAGTGTTCTTTTTTTTTTTTTTGCAATCAGTGTTCTTAACAGCTCAAAATATTGCTCCAGCCCCTGACAGTTGTTTCTAACCTTTTGACTTTTCTTTCTTTCTTTCTTTCTTTCTTTCTTTCTTTCTTTCTTTCTTCCTTTCTTTCTCTTTTTTCATTTGTTTTTGTTTGTTTGTTTGTTTTGTTTTGTTTTGTTTTTTTGAGACAAAAACACAAAACAGGGTCTCAGTATGTAGCTTTGGCTGTCCTGGAACTCACTATGTAGACCAGGCTTTAATTAAATTAGACTTTATTAAATTAGACCTTTAGACTTCAAACTTTAGTCCTCAATAAAGGACAATCTATAGCAAACATACTTTCTGTTTTAGGGGAAGGCCTCTGCTTACTTGATGACAGTTGTGTGCCCTCCCATACCTTCCCATATGTTCTAGAACAGACTTTCTTGAGAGATGATTTATAGAACACCTAGACATTGCTAAAATGCTCCAGTCCAGCCCATTGAACCAGATCCTTTTGAGGGGAGTGCTGTGCTTGATTTGTATGTGTGTCTGGTGATTCACATACCGTGTGGTTACCTGTGTGCTGCAGGCGGTGGTTAGTGTGGAGGACTCTGCCCTCTTCTTTACGCCCTTCTGTGTTGTCACTTAGCCCTATAATGAGCCTCTTTCATTACAGAAATACATTAGAGACGTTGTTCAAGAAAATATATAGGTAGAAAATGAGAGTATGAAAGGGTATTCAAGGTTATCAACCTCGGAGAAACATTAAAGATTGACCATGCCAATACTGCTTACACCGCTGTCAAGCCAGAAAACTGCCTTTCAAAGAACTTAACATTTCCTTGTAAGTTAAAGCACCTTACCACGGGTCCCAAACATCCCACTACTAAGTCTAGTTCAGTGGTAACAGGGGAACAAGTTAGGTATCAGGAAACAACTGATTGTTTATCCAGTATGTTGACATACAGATAAACATATAACACATATCCCCATAATGTATGTATGTCCATAGTAGCCAGTGTATAGCCATAGCATAATATTATGGAGCAGTAAAGAGCGATGAGCTATTGCTACATGCTACTGCATGGTTGGATGTCAAAATAACTCTTCTGAAAGAAAGAGGCAGCCATAGAGAGTACATAGCATCTAGTTCCCTTTTGTATAAATATTCAAGAAAACTGCCATCCCTTTTCAGATGTCAAACTTTTTGGTGTCTTTCGAGAAGGACCAAAGACTTGTGTCAGGGCATATTAGTCTAATTCTGTTTGCAGTGGCATCACTGACGATTTAACCATAGTTCACTGTGTTCATCTTTATCATTTATTCAGTTTCTTAACTGAGCACATATTATGTGCTAACTCTAGAGCAGACAGCAAGTAATATGTTAGTGAAAAAATTAGGGCACATTTTCCTGCCTTTGTGAAAGTTTGTATTTCGTTGAATGAACCAACACATAATAAAAGGGCATAGGAGTAAAGAGAGACTGGTCTAGGTTATTTTTAAAAATACATTTATTATTATTATTATTTGTGTGTGTGTGCGCTCACCATAGCATGTGTGTGGAAGTCAGGAGATAACCTTTGGGAAGCGGGGTCTCTTGTTTCTGTCTCTGCACTGTGTTCATCACAGCATAGCCTTTCCATGTTAACTGTCCTGAGAGCTTCCAGGAGATTCTCCTGTCTCTACCTCCCATTTCAATGTAAGAGTGCTGGGATTGCAGATTACAAGGGTTCCAGGAATTGAACTCAGGTCATCAAGCTTATGAGGCGGACCATGTGCCCAGGCACTCACCTGACTTTTAAGTAGAAGAGTAAGGTGACCAATTTCATGTTTTTGTTGTTCTGTAGTTTTTCATTGTTGTTGTTTTGGGGTGTTTTTTGTTTGTTTTTTTTTTATTTAATTTTATTTTATGTGCATTAGTGTGAAGGTGTCAGATCCCTTGGAAATGGAGTTATAGACAGTTGTGAGCTGCCATGTGGGTGCTGGGTATTGAACCTGGGTCCTTTGGAAGAGCAGACAGTGCTCTTAACCACTGAGCCATCTCTCCAACCCTTTGTTCGTGTTTTTATGTTCTCAGTATTGGGCATCGAACTTAGGGCCTTGTGCAGGCTAAGTAGAAGACGTGCCCTTGAACTTTAACCCAACCTTCCTTTACCCCTTAAGAGTTTATTTAAAAAAAAGTAAGTATTTTAAATTTTATTTATTTATTTATATTTGCATGTTTTGCCTGTATGTATGTATGTCTATATTCTGTACACCACATGTATGCCTAGTGCCTAAGAGGTAAAAAGAGAGCATTTATTCCCTGGGACAGGAATTATAGTTGTGGGCTGCCATGTGGGTGCTGGGAATTGAACCCAAGTCCTTTGGAAGAGCAGCCAATGCTCTTAACCACGTATCCATCTCTCCAGCCCCTGTTAAAGATATTTCTCAAAGATGAATCCTAGTTTAGTTTTCTTTTCTTTT